CACGCCTAATAATCCCATAAAACCTCCCAACTCAATGGTAACAATCACAACGATAACCATCACCTAGAATATCATTTATTATCGCGTTAAATATCACCCATTCGGCAAAATCAGGCAAAAGAGAATTGTACTTACCATAGCAGCAGCCCATGGATTGAACATCATAATGGAAATAACAGCAAACACCGCAAATGCAATAATGCAGATGGCGCAGAAAAGGTTCCATCTGGAAATAGAACCTGTGTTTATAGGAATATATGAGTGGATCAAATGAAGGACTTCTTATTACCGTAGGAAAAGATATTGCTCCCAGAAGGTGAAGGCAAGACCAGATGGGAAATTAGAAAGCCCTCTCTCCGTAAACTTTTCGCAGACTTCTCGCACTTCCTAATAAAAATACATGAATTATAAAGAATGACGGCTGAAGTGCTGTTCGTAACCAAGCAAGAACAATTGATTACCTCAATCATATCAACAATTACTGGTGTGTCGGTGAGATTGGTTTGATAAAAAGGAATCTGACTGTAAAGTAGTGGACGAGCAGGTGGTACAACCCTGTCACCCTAAACACATATTTACTAAGCGAAACACTGGCGAAAGTAATTGCCTGGATTTTGGAGAAATATACTTACTAATCCCATCTGCCAGGGAGGTGGATTTGGCTGGAAGGATGCTTGTGAGACGTAGTACATCATGTTGTCAATGTTGTACCAGCCAGTCAAGTAATTATAGAAACCATCTGGACGAATAGTTCCATTTTCAACCATTTTGATATGACCTATCTAAAATATCCACCCTCAGTAAGTCTGCGAGATTGAAAATTGCAAAATAAACGCACTCTTCCAGTACAGTTGAAAGTATGACCGTAAGAGCAAACCATATGACGAGCAATTAAAGCTTCAGGAGCTGGCTTTTCCTTAAATTAATATTACTTAGCTGTGAAACAAACGTCAAAGTGCAAAAGCCACTCACCTTTCCTTTGACAGGCTTTCCAGTCACAGGATCCATAGTTCCAGCCTTCAGCTCTTTCTCAAGTGCGA